ATTTGTATATGTATATTGTCTCAGACAATATGAATGCAGCAACAAAAAAATCTTTAAAAATGATAATAAATGCATTGCAGCAAATGCACATTTAAGAACGAAATTATAGCACAATATTTTGATATTCCAAGAATAGAATATTACTTTTATAGAATGAATTTCCTTGTACATTGGCATCACTGTTAACTGCCTCGTTGTCTATTGTAAGCGTCTCTCATTTTCTATTGTGAATGATTACTATTCATATTATTAGTGCCATGATGCAATAATAAGGTGATGTATCAAAACAAAAACATTTTTTTGTCTCGATTATCTGTCAAATTTTTCCTTATAATATTTCAATAATTTGGCAGCATTGCACATCGAATTCAAGTAAAATTTAGCACTTTGACAGTTAATCAAGACATCAGCTGCTCTAAATGGACTACCTATTCATTGTGCCATGATTAGTGTCAAGCATGGTACATGGTCTGTTTATACCTAGCTTTTTGCACTAGGCAAAGAACTTTCCCAACCGCCCTCGTACCAGGCCGAAACATAATTCTTTCAGACCCAGCTTAATCTATTGTGAGATCTAACAATTGTTAAATATTTTTTTAAGTTAATATTGAAAATTCAATATAAAAACTACATCATAGTGGAGGGTTTGAAAGTAGCACATTTTTTTTCAATGAAAGTACGCATTTCTAATTTTTCCATTGTAAAAAATAGCGGATTCGTCTTTTTTGAACACCTATTTCTATATGAAGGAGTTGCCAGATCGACATCAAATTTAACATGTGTTCATAACAGAGATGGTTCCCAAAACATTTATTTTTTCTGTTTATAGCGCGCTTTTGGTGCTAGGCTAAGAACTTTCCGAACTGCCCTCGTTCTTATGTCCTTATTGGGTTCCTACCTTCCCATAAAAGTTCCAATCGATTTTAAATATGTGTACTTGTTTGTATTAATGTGTCCACTACTCTATCACTGAGCCTATCATCGCAACGTTGCAATTAATTTTGCGTTCTCAATAAAAATAGAATGCAATTTTTTCCTCTTCATTTTGTTTGCGCCTTTTTGTATTTAACTCTACGAATCAATTAAAAATGGATCTGACTTATGACATGCTATTATTCATTTTAATTCCTATTCTATCTATATTCATTAGATGAGCAACAACGACAATAACCACAATAAATATTGTCATTGCAATTGTGTTTTTTTAATAATGATTGTAAAAAATGACTTCGACTATATCAGCAAGTATTTAAATTGTAATGTGGTTGGGTTTCACATCGATGTGAAAACACTTGGAGAAAGAAGTGAATAAGTAAATCCCGGCCTGATTTTAAAAAATCGTCTATATAAAATCGTTTATTATTAAATTATGTATTAAAAAACAAAACTTCTTTCAGTGTATTTCCCACAATTTACCCCATTTCACAAAAATCGCCATCATGTGGATTTCAAATGATTTTGTTATTAGGTTAATATTCACACGTTAGTTAAACTGCTGTAATCAAATCGAAAAACAAAAAAATACAACACACCTCAACGACTTTTTGACACTGAACTTGATTATTATTTTTTTAATATTTTGTTTGCGTGTATGTTTTTCTTGTTTATTTACATTAATAGATTAAATATATTACGTATGGGGGGAAATACGGACTTTTGCCTTTAAAAAGCAAACCAAAAAAATCCCCATCGTCCCATATTCGAAATCAAGTTTTCCCATTCTCCCTACATTTTTTAGTATGTCTCCCGTTTTCTACGCAGATCACACAGAGGCAAATCTAAATTTATATACGAATGAGTTAATTTTTTTTTAGATGAATATTGGACAGCGCTGAAAATTTATTGATAGTTTGATGTCGTCGTCATTCCGTTAATAGAACAGTGTTTTAAGAAAATAACAAAATAGGTCTTTCTAAAGACCAATTAGGTGGAATAGAGATCACAGGTCTTTATAAAGACCAATTGGGCAGTATAGAGACCAAAGGCCTTTATACAAGGCAAATTGGGCAGTATGGAGACCACAGGTCTTTATACAAGGCCAATTGGGCTGTATGGAAAACACAAGTCTTTATAAAGACCTATTGGGATGTGTATGCAGACCACAGGTCTTTATAAAGACCACAGATCTCTATAGAAATACATATTTTGTTTTTCCCATTTCACTGTGCTGCCTCTTTATTTCACTGATACTGATATACAGTGAGTTTTTTGTATATTTTGTGTAGTTCTGCTGCTGTTGTTCTCACCCACCATAAAATATTTTAATATTAACTCTCTCCCTGGTGCTTGTGTGAGGTTTTAAGTGTTCGGAGTGGCTGCTACTGATGTGTATTTTATACTTTTTTCCCTCCCGTTCCTTGTGTGTGACAATCGGCAATCAGCCAAACGCACCACTTGCCGAGACGCTGCCAAACTACTTCTGCTAACTATTAGCCGCCTTTGGCTTTGCTGTTGGTAGATTGAATGCTTTTTTTTAAATTTCTATATGAATTGTTTGTTTTAGGCTCGGCATAGGGTCTCATCTGTCTCTTCCATGCACTTGACTAGAGTATCCATAGTTTAGTAGGCAAACAAACATTTTACCGTCACCACATGCTGATTACACAGCCGAAAGAATAAAACGGCGGACGATTCACTTTTTTTGTATTAACAACGAAACTACTGGATTAGTTTGAATTTATTTTAAATATTTATTGTTGTTGTTTTTCCGTACACTTTCGCCTTTAAAAGAAAAAATTTTAATCAAGTGAGTAAAAGTCGAAATAAAAGAAAATCAATAAATAACGAAAAGAAAATAGTAACAGTGACCCATAAAACTATTGTGGATGAGTAACTGAAAAATGCTTGTCTAGTGGTGGCACATAGCGGCAATGATGGTGGTGTTTTGGTTAAAAAAAAAATGCAAAAGCTAGAAGTGGGAAGTTTATTTGGATATGATAATTTTTTTGGCGTAAAAATTGTTTTATTGATTACGAAGTGTAACAATATCTGATCTATGAGCTGTGCGGCAGATACTTATTGCGATAAGGGGAATCATTTATTCTGACAATTTATACATTACATTATCTAAACCAAATGATCTTTATAAAGCCCGGTCGTCTCTATACAGCCCAATTGGTCTTTATAAAGCCGGGTGGTCTCTATACAGCCCAATTGGTCTTTATAAAGCCCGGTGGTCTCTATACAGCCCAATTGGTCTTTATAAAGACCTGTGTGGGTCTCTATACAGCCCAATTGGTCTTTATAAAGACCTGTGTGGGTCTCTATACAGCCCAATTGGTCTTTATAAAGACCTGTGTGGGTCTCTATACAGCCCAATCGGTCTTTAAAAAGACCTGTGTGGGTCTCTATACAGCCCAATTGGTCTTTATAAAGACCTGTGGTCCCTATAATCAAAACAATTGGAGTTTAAAGTTGTCTGTGATCTCTATGCTGACAAATCGGTCTTTTTAAAGACCTATGTGGTTTCAATATAGACGCAAACTCGTTTTTACCTCTCATATTAAGAAAAAAACTCTCACATAATACTCTCAATATTAAAATTATCAATTTTTTGTTTGCCTTTTTTGGATTTTGTATTTTGATTTTGGTAAAGATTTTTTTTTTTTCTCAAAAAAAAAAAAAAAAATCCTCTCTCTCAAGATATTTTGATTCCATCAAATATTCTTTTCAAATATATATGTAGTCTTATGTGTTTTTCAATTTTCCTATTCTCTCTTATACATTGTCTACTTACAGAAAGCAAAAATCTTTTAGTATAAAAAACACAGATTTGAAATACTCCTTTACAAAAGAAAGTGTCGTCCAAACACAACTTCCATCAACCATTCAGCAAAAACACACTACTATTTTCCCCCAAATCAATTTCCTACTGGGCTGTGATATTTAGGATACGAAACACAACGTTCTCCCCCCTATTTCTCAACGTAGAAGTGATTAATTTTGAGTGTTTGTGTTGATGGCTCCGAGAGACGTCTAACAGCGGGACTGAGAGAACACAAACAACCACCAGCAACTACTGAACTGAAATTGTTTTGCTTCTTCCAATATTTATATATTTTTTGTAATTTGTAAAAGGAAGGAGAACCATTGTGATATATCTATTTTTTGCGAGCGATTTTGAAAAGAATTTATTTAGACAATTTATATTTATTTTTTTGCTAGTGATATTTAAGAAAAAAGTCTTGCCTTTGCAAAAGAAAATTTTCCACTCTTGAAAAAGGAAGTTTGTCTTCAATAGTTTTCGTTTGGAAAGTTTAAAGAAAATCTTTATATATGAATAATATTGAACAATTAAATGCTAAAGCATCATCATCATCTCCATCCGCATCATCATCATCATCAGCATTACCATCCGCATCATCATTGCCATCAACAGTTTTAACATTTCCATTAACCACGGCTAACAATAACATAACATTATCATCATCAACCCCAACAAATGATTTAGTTAATCACTTACAAAACACAACATTATCACAACAACATAATGATGCCTTTCCCTTAATAACAACAGCTGTAGCTGCTGCACCATCATCATCATCTGGCTCATCATCATTGACTGGATCACCAGTATCATCGAACAACTATTCATCAGCATCATCGTCCATTATTTCATCACCTTCGTCTTGTTCAACAGCGGCCACACTTTTGTTACAACAAACAGAGACACCGACGACGACGACAGCGGCCACCTCTCCATTATCATCCAAACCAACAGCTGCTAAGCTACCATCCAATAAACTGTTTAGTGGCAATTCACCAACTCCACCACCCACACCACCGCCATCCGAAACCAATTCTAATACATCATCACCTTGCACCACACCCTATGGAGCAGGTGGTAGTGGTGGGGGCGGCGGTGGCATTTCATTGACATTTACACCGGCCAGTGCCGACAATTCATGCAGTACACGAACATCACCCGAAACTGACGAATACGATTACGACGACGAAGACGGCAACTATACGGACAATACATCCATTTCCGCATACAATTCCATTACCATTAAACCCAATACCACCATCCATAACTCCAGTTCCTCGCCCACCTTGCCCACCACATGCTATCCCTCTTCTTCTTCCGCTTCTTATCAACCAAATTTTGAACAAATCAAAGAAAAATTCAAAAACCAAGAATCACAAACCCAACTGACCCTCTTGAATTCCCTACTACTTTCCTCCGCAGCTAACGCCGCTCTTGTCAAGCACATCCCTCACTCCTCGCTAGTACGTTCAGTAACAGCTACCAGCATCATGGACATGCCCTACAACACTTCACCTTCGCTACGTGTACGCACCACATCGCTGAATCAGCTCAAGAAAACCGCCGATTTGGCCATTGAGAATGAGCTGCATGTCTGTCCCAGTGTTATGCCGGATGAGTTGCGCAAGCTGCTGCCACCCACCTCCGAAACCGTAATGACCAAACCATTTCCCATACGCGGTGAGAGGGCCATATCGGATGTTTCGACGCCTCATGTCATTGCCATGGTTGGCCTACCGGCTCGTGGCAAAACGTTCATCTCGAAAAAGCTGGCTCGCTACCTAAACTGGATTGGCATCTGTACGAGAGTCTTTAATTTGGGCGAATATCGTCGTCATGCCACCACCGCCTACAAATCCCATGAATTCTTTAGGGCCGATAATGAGGAAGCCATGGCCATACGCAATCGTTGTGCCCATCAGGCTCTCCACGACTCCTGTGAATGGCTGCTCAGTGGCCAAGGCAGCGTGGCCGTTTTCGACGCCACCAACTCCACCTACGACCGCCGTCAAATGATCTATGATGTGGTGGTGAAGCAGCATGGCTTCCGTCTATTCTTCGTCGAGTCCATCTGTGATGATCCTCAAATCATTGAACAAAACATTAAAGAGGTTAAGGTCAGCTCACCCGACTATATTAACATGAATACCGATTTGGTGGTCCAAGATTTCCTGCAACGTATCGAACACTATGAGGAACGCTATCAGACCATAGACGAGGAACTTGAATCTCACTTGAGTTTCATGAAGGTGTACAATGCCGGTAAAAAAGTGGTGGTTTACAACAATGAAGGTCATGTGGAGTCACGTATTGTCTACTACCTGATGAATATACACATTACACCGCGTACCATCTATCTAACACGTCACGGTGAGTCAGAACATAATCTTAAGGGTTTGATTGGTGGTGATGCCAATTTAAGTGAACGTGGTCGGCTATATTCTAAGGCCTTGGCCGCCTACATTGAGCAACAACAAATAGAGGGTTTACGTGTGTGGACATCATGGATGAAGCGAGCCATACAAACCGTGGCCGACATTAAGGCACCTCAAGAACGCTGGAAGGCATTGAACGAAATCGATGCTGGTCATTGTGAGGAAATGACCTATGAGCAGATCAAGGAACGTTTCCCTGAAGAATTCAAGGCCAGAGATCAAAATAAATTTGCCTATCGTTATCCACGCGGTGAAAGTTATGAAGATTTGGTGGCCCGCCTAGAACCGGTCATCATGGAGCTGGAACGTCAAGGCAATGTATTGGTCGTCTCGCATCAGGCAGTGTTGCGTTGTCTATTCGCCTATTTCCTGGATAAATCGGCTGATGAGTTACCCTATTTATATGTTCCCTTGCACACGGTCATTAAGCTGACACCGGTGGCCTACGGCTGCAAAGTGGAACACATAAAGCTACCCATCGATGCTGTGGACACACATCGTCCAAAACCAAAAATACCCGGTGATGTATCGTTGGGTCTTGATGGTTTGAGCGGTGAATTGGTTGCTCCCGATGGTGTTGGTAAGGTGTTGATTGTGGGTGATGATGTGTCGAAGGCAACGGCAAATGGTGTTGGCATCTGCGGCAGCGGCGGTGGTGTTCTAGGCAATGGACTTGGTGCAGCCATCATCAACAATAGTAGCAGCACCACTGTTGCAGGCGATGACAATGCCAATAGCATAAAACCAGAACAACAACAATGATATCATTATTGCCACCATCATCAACATAGAGTTTTATTAAGACGTGGACTGCTGGCTCAGTTTCATTTGAATCGTTTTAATACTCTGTAAGAAAAATAAGAAAGAAGCCAGTCATTTTAAAAAAATATTAGATAAATGTTCTCTTACTATTCCTCGCTTCTAGGCAGTGCATTAATAAATAAAAAAAACGCACACACACAATTAAACTAAATTATCACAATCCACAATATGAAAACACAACACATGTTTTATAGAACTGAGTTAAGTTGGCCGCATTTCATGTTTCTAAAGCTAACTGGACTGGCCACACATGAACTTTAACATTATTCACTACAAGTAATCCTATAAATTTATTTTTTATGATTATTTTTACTGAAAATATGCTCATGAATAAATAATATTAATGGCATTTGATTAAAATAATTATGAAATTAGATTTTAGTTAGATTTTAAAAAGTGTTTTCTGTATGAGATCAGTTAGTTGTAAGCAGCTGTTCTGTGATTTTCAAATCATTTTAAAATCAATAAATTTGACTAAAAAAATCTTAAGATGGAGGAAGAAAAGAGAACATTTTTTTTAACTCTCAAATAAAATCAATACCACAAAAAATAGGTTGAATTAATTTTTAAACCTATATCATCAGTTTCATCATTAAAGCAAAATTGCCAGTTTCATTTCAAATTCTCTATAAGATGAGTTCAATAATTTCACAAAAAATATATTGCATATTTTTTTAAGAAAGCAAAGACAAGACTTTTATGACTGATGAATGTAAACTCAACTTAAAAAAATAACAAAAAGAAAACTATTTTGTAATTTTTATTATAGAAAAACCATAAACATTTATTATAATTATTTTTATTAAATATATACTACTACACATATGTAATATTTTTATATTTGTAGAAAACAAAAAATAAACTCAAATTTGTTAATCTATATATTTTTGTAACAATTAAATATCTTTCAATGTAATTTGTTTTTCTATTTCTTTGCCGTGTGATTTCTTTTTTTAAAATAAACTCCATTCTTTTATAATTAACTATAAGAAACTTTACTACTACTTATAAATTTAATATTTGTTTGAAAAACATCATATGTCTCGTATGTTATATTTAAGCAAAAACAATACAAAATAAAAATCATATTAATAAATATATATATTTCATGTATGAAAAATAAAATTGACAAATAAAATACATTTTCAATTGTGTTTTAATTTTTTTGTGTTGTCCGGTTTAGAAGTTAAGTGAATACAAAAACTTTGATTAGAGTTTTATAACTATAGGAGAACTTTTACTATTCTATTGATTGATTGGGTGCAAAGCATATGCAGTTGCCCTAATGGAAGATCATAGTTATATTTTCTGTCTGAAAATACCTTTATAGTTTTTCTTCAAATATAACATATATGGAAGATATTACAACTATACAAACCGTGGCCGACATTAAGGAACCCCATTGTAAAGAATTCCGGTTGTCCGGTTTAGAAGTTAAGTGAATAAAAAAAACTTTGATTAGAGTTTTATAACTATAGGAGAACTTTTACTATTCTATTGACTGATTGGGTGCAAAGCATATGCATTTGCCCTAAGGGAAGGTCATAGTTATATTTTCTGCCTGAAAATACCTTAATAGTTTTTTTTTTCAAATATAACATATATGGAAGATATTACAACTATACAAACCGTGGCCGACATTAAGGAACCCCATTGTAAAGAATTCAAGAACAGATATGGAAGATTTGGTATCCCGTAATGACCAAATCATTTCCCATACGCGGTGAGAGGGTCACCGGATGTTTTGACGACTCATGTCATTGCCCTGGTTGGCTGCGGTTCGTAGCAAAATTGTCAACTCGAAAAAGCTGGCTCGCTACCTAAAATGGATTGGCATGTGTAGGAGAGTGTTTAATTTGGGTAAATATCGTCGTCATGCCACCACCGCCAACAAATCATATGAATTATTTAGTCCCTATATATTCGTCGATTTGCACTAAATTTGGCAAAGCGTACTGAATTGAGTCCAGAATGATGCCTGCTGAGATTCGTGAAAATCGGTTTAGATTTTGATATAGCTTCCATATATATTTGCGTCCAATTTAATGTTAATGGAGCACCAAAGCCCCTATATTTCCTTCGATTTGCACGAAATTTGGCATTGCGTATTAAATTGTGTCTACAATGATGTCTACTGAGATTCGTGAAAATCGGTTCAGATTTAAATATAGCTCCCATATATATTTGCCTCCGATTTAATGTAAATGTTCCTATATATCTTTCGATTTGCACGAAATTTGGCATAGCGTACTAAATTGAGTCTACAATGATGTGTGCTAAGATTCGTGAAAATCGGTTCAGATTTAGATATAGCTCCCCACATATATTTTCGTCCGATTTAATGTTCGATTTGCACGAAATTTGGCATAGCGTACCAAATTGAGTCTAGAATGCCCTCTGCTAAGATTCATGAAAATCGGTTCAGATTTAGATAAATCGCCGATATATATATATATATATATATATATTCGTGCGATTAATTGTAGTGTACCAAAGCCCCTATATTTCGCTCGATTTGCACGAAATTTGGCATATTTTCATGTCAATGTTCCTTCGAATAGGCGACGTCTGTTAGGATATATATGTAGAATAACTAAAGTGGTGAAGAAGGGTATCATATAGTCGGACCAGTCCAACATTACTGCTTTATTTATTGGTTATTTTTAAACCCTGAAAATATAACTATATAAAGGTAGGTACTAACTTTTGGAAAATTCATGCATGAGTTCAAGATCTATACACTAGTCTGTATGTGAATTATATGAGTTCTAATAAAATATAAATAAATTAAATATAAAATTCTCCGAACTGCAACAAACAAAATCCTTAGAAAAGATGCTGGCTGTGTGTGTATCACTATAAACGTAATATAAAATCTGTATTCTTTTCACGCCCCCCAAACAATCTATTCTATAATGTGAAATCTTACAAAATTTTCCAGCATACTATATGAAATGAGACCACAACAATCCATAGCAACAACAACAAACATCAATATGATGATAATGACGTCGTCCATTTTGACGTCACAACAGGAAATAGAAAAAGGAAATTACTAAAAACTCCTGCTTGACACATCCCCTATATTATTTGATAACAAAGTGTGTCTATATATATAGTTACTTGTAACTGTGTGCGTGTGTGTTTGTGGGCGGAAAGTAAAAGGCAACCAAAAACACATCAACCCCCCTCCAGAGTCAAGATGTCAACGGATCAAGCTTATAAGGACGGTGATATTGTGTGGGTTAAATTGGGCAATAATTGGTGGCCTGGTGAGGTAATCGATGTCCAACGCCATCCAGATGGTACTGTCAGTAATATAAAACGTAAACTTTATTGCATTGTAAAGTTTTTCAATGAGGATGCATAGTAAGTATAAATAATAACATTAGGTAGAGAAGGATGAGGTGAGATTGAGTGTCTTTTGTTTTCTATTACAGTGAATATGTCAGCAATGTCAAACAAATTTATCCATTTCAATGTGCAAAAAAGGAGGAATTCCTTAAGAAAGGATTTGGTAAGTAGCAAATGTCATGCATATACATTACGAGGGCAGTTGGGAAAGTTCTTAGCCTAGCACATAATACCGCGCTTTATGTGCTAGGCTAAGAACGGAAAAAAGTTAAGTGTTTTGGAAACTTCTATCTCTGTTATGAACACAAGTTAAATTTTGTTTCTATCTGGCAACTCCTTCATATAGAAACAGGTGTTCAAAAAAGTGGCAACCGCATTTTTTTACAATGAATGCAAGCATTTCTAATTTTTCCATTGTAAAAAATTGCGAATGCGTCTTTTTTGAACACCGTTTCTATATGAAGGAGTTGCCAGATCGAAACAAAAATTAGCATGTGTTCAGTACAGAGATGGAAGCTTCCAAAACACCTAACTTTTCCTGTTTTAACGCCCTTTATGTGCTAGGCTAAGAACTTTCCGAACTACCCTCGTATATGTAAATACCAGCATGGAAAATATCAAATTCCTATCCCTTTGGGTATATACAAGACATGTTTTCCAAGCGAGTTTATTTTATTTTGATGTTTTGGGGCTTTTATTGGACACAGAATCCCACTACTAAAAATAAACGATCAATGTGCATCAACATTGGGAGTAACCCACATAAAACGATACCTTCCGATTTTTGGTGTATTGACATCTTGGGTTCTGATAATGTGCAAATTTCCCTACAAAAATATGAAGCAATATTGGACCATTTAGAAATAGGGAATTGGATATTCATTGAATTGTTTTATATATTGTGTCCCTCTTTAATTATATTTTCAGCTCTCTATAACAGTGGTAATAAATTTATGGAAAAATTTCCCGAAGATGTAAAAATCGCTGAGCGATTAACAAGTCAAAAAACACCATCTCTATACATAAATGATCGTCCCGATAGTATTGTCAAAGCTGTACTGGGGCAACCGATTATATTGGGCGGCCATGATGGTGGCGGCGGTAATGATGGCCGTGATGGTAATGGCAACAATTCAACAGATTTTCGGGAAAAACGTCGAAGTTGTGTAAGTATAAAAAATAAACAAAAAATAAAGACAAAACTAAAAAAAAATGTATTCTATGGAGAGTTCTGCATCCGAACTGACTTGAATTGAAACAGAACAAATGTCATAGCATTTTTGATGCTCCATCGAAAACAGACGTAACTGTGAATCTGAAACGATTTATAGGAAACTAAATGCCGTACTGTCGGATGTAGTATTTTATTATTCATCATTCGCCTGAAATCGATCCGATTTTTATATGGAAGCTATATTTAAATTGTATCTGATTTAAATCAACCTTGAAATTTTCTAAATTAGTGTTTGCAATATTTCGTGTTAATCACTCCAATGTAGAGTATTTGATGCGAAATTCGCATTTATGATATATATAATTTGACAAACACGTCATTATAGGATAAATTACATAAAATCGGACTAAATTATATATGGGTCTGTAACCAAATCAGAAAGGATTTTAAGCATTTTTTATGGCTCATTCCATGACAATAGTATAGGTTTTGGAATTTAAT